GTGGACGACCTCTGCTTCGGTAAGCATCATCTCTTGGTCTCCATTCCAGTATCCGCTTTGCCCATCTATTATCTGTCATTCGAGTCACGTGACGTGCCCAGTTCAATTTCAGTGTTGCTACTCTCTCTACTGCATCAGCCACTCCTGTTCTTTGTCGTAGCTAGCGATTTGGGATCTTGTCTCGTAGTGAAACGCCCAACATAGCACACTCCATCGCCCTTTGACACACACTGATCTTTTGAACTATTCTCCTTGTCATGGTCAACGTTTCCGCACCGTATGTCAACAGTGGCAAAACACACTGATTAAAGGTTTTTCTTTTAAGGCATATTGGTATATCAGACGATTTCAAAATATGTTCAGCTTGCCAAAGGCTGCCCAAGTTTATCTTACACAACGGAGAAGCTCAACGGTTTGGTTATCTTTTCCTATGCGGATCTCATGACCTAGGTATTTATAGGCCATTACCTGATCTATGGATCTTGTTACTACGCATATGTCTTCGCCGAGTACAAGATTTGTCATCATCTGGGTTTTAGATATATTTATTTGACCTGATTATGGATGAAAAAATAAATAAAAAAAAGTTAGAACTAAAAAATGATACCAAATGGGATAAAAACAACTTAAGCTAATCTGCTATGCAGACGACGCAATATTACTCTCTCAAAGTGAAGATGATTTTCAACTTATGCTGCACAATTTAATATAACAGATAAAAATTGTAACATGTTAATTTCCCCAAAAAAGACAAAATCCATGGTTACAACCGCAAATTGTAACTAAAGAGTTTAAATATCTATTTATAACATTATCTAGCTACGGAAAGCTCAAAACTAAAGTGGAAGATCAAGTAAATAGAGCAAACAGAGCCGCAGGTAGCCTAAATGAAACAATATGAAAAAATAAAAATATTGGTAAAGAAACGAAAGGTAGAATTTACAAAACAGTCATCAGACCAATAATGACATACAAGGCAGAAACAAGACCTGATACAGAGAGGACAAAAAGAATGTTAGAAACAGCAGAGATGAAAAATTGATGTTAATAAGACACTATGGGACAGAGCTAGAAGTACAGATTTAAGACGTAGATGCAAGATGGAGAACATCAAGAACTAGGTAAGAAAGAGACGAGTAAAATGGAACGATCATATAAACCAAATGTCAACAAACAGAGTAGTAAAGACGGTTCCCCAATAAGAAGACGATCAGTAGGAAGACCACGAAAACGATAGAACGACAACTCACTGGAGGCACATTGAAAAACAGACAGAGTCATGTCTACATATACAGAAGAAGAAGAAAAAGTATAATAACCAAATCGTTTGAAACATTAAAAAAATGACTTTGCTATTAGTATACTACAAACTAATAGAGCTGATGTTACAACAATGAAAAAACTGATAGGGGAATTACGAAAACTTAAAAGTTTAGTCATAAAAAAAAGAATAATTTATGGACAAAACCGTTTATCGACCAAATACCTACCTAATTAAATACTTTAACATTAGAAGAAAAGAAACCTCATCAATATTGTAATAAAAAAGGATTCACTGCACGGTTACATCTAGAAGTAATACGCAGTTTAAAATAAAAAGATAGAAAAACAACACAAGAAGACAAATCAAAAAATATTGAATATGTTAATAATGGTGCTGTACAGGTGACATTAAATGAAACAGTAACTGACAAAAAAACTAGATTGGCTACCACTGATCAAATTAAAATTGTTTCTAAATAATAAAAAAATTTGTGGAGTTTATCACCAGGCTCACATGTTACTCTGCTGAATGCGAAGGTGGCAGAAAAGTTAAGATTAGATATTAATAAGGATAGGAATATGTTATCGCCATAGCTCGCAACAAAGGAAAAAATATGTGTATAAGATGGAAAGCAACCGTATGTACGTGTATATTTCTGACTATTAGTCGCCTTCAGTACGGTGCAGCCAAGTTAGAAAAAGAGCATGTTAACTTGGGAAAGGATACTACAGAAGCAGTGCGACCAATTTGTGGCAACAATGTTAGAATAGATAGATAGATAGATAGTTTATTTTACTGTAAGTTACAACTAGGTTTACAGCAAGTCAAAACTAAAATTATAAATATTAAATATTACAAAAAATGAAAACAATACATTAAAAATATTTAAGACATTAAAATACTTAAAAAACGTACAATATAGACATATAATTAAAATATTAATAAATTTGGTTATGTTGCAGCTTAGGCATTCACAGATACACCCTCGTAATATCCACCTAATGTATAAGGACACATGGTCACTAGGTATTCTTTGACTTGGTTTTTAAAAGCTGTAGTTGAATTAATGTTTTTAAAATTTTGAGGAAGTTGATTATACAGTTGTAAACCACAGATAGTAGATGACTTCCTGCTTATTTCTAAATGTCGATAGGGTACTACAAACTGTCTCTTATTTCTTGTGTTGTGTGAGTGAATATCACTGTTACATAAAAAAGTTCTTTTATTTTTATGAATTAGTATCAATAATTCCAAAATGTAAATTCCACACACTGTTAATATATTCAAATCTCTAAATAGGTTTCTACAAGACCAACCATACGGAACACCTGCTATACATCTGACAATACGTTTTTGGGCCTTGAAAACGTCCTTTACACTAGAAGAACCACCCCAAACAGTTATACCGTAACTTATTGTCGATTGTACCTCAGCAAAATAAAAAAGACCAAGGTGTTGCAGACTAAGTGTTTGACCCAAATTTCTCAATTGATAACATTTAGAATTGAGTTTTTTACATACATTCCAACAATGAGTCTTAAAAGATAAATGAGAGTCGAAAGTCACTCCTAAAAACTTCACATCACTACAACTCAAAATATCCTCACCATTGATGGAAATACTTAAATCAGGTTTGGTTGAATTTGAACGTGATGTAAATGATAAAAATTTAGTTTTGTGAACATTGAACAGGAGCGACTGATTACTGGACCAATCAGAGAAGGTCTTCAGAGAGTTTGTTATTTTATCTTGTAAAAAATTTATGTCTTTATCGCGATATAGCATTGTTGAGTCATCCGCATAAACTGATACAAATGCATCAGGCATTACATGTGGTAGTTCATTAATATACAAAATAAATAATATAGGGCCCAATATTGAGCCCTGTGGTACTCCATTCTTATTAATAATCGGATCAGACATTGAAATCTTGAAGTTATTTTTCACTTTAACTATTTGGTGCCGGTCTTTCAGATAGGAAACAAACCAACTATGGGCAACTCCCCTAACACCATATCTGTACAATCTATCGAGGAGCACATCGTGTTGCACACAATCAAATGCACGACTGAGATCACAAAAAATGGCAGTTGGATTTTCACTGTTCTCAATTGAGAGTAAGACTTCATCATAAAAACTGTTAATGGCTGTGGAAGTAGAAAATTTATTTCGAAATCCATGTTGATGCTTTGTGATAATTTGGTTGATATCTAAAAATAATAAAAGTTGTTTTAGCATTGCATATTCAATAATCTTAGATATCACAGATGGAACAGACAATGGTCGAAAATTTGACATTAATTCAGGATCACCTTGTTTTAATACCGGTGAAATGATAGAAGTTTTCAGCATATTGGGAAAAACACCAGTATTGAAAGAAGATTTTATAATGTGAGTCAGTGGTGTCAAAATTTGAGACGCAATCTTCTTAATTACTATACCTGATATTTCATCAAAACCACACGATGCTTTGTCTTTAATTTTATATTTTATTATATCTAAGACATCTTCCTCTGTTACATAAGATAGGAACAAACTAGTTTGAACAAAATCATTGGAATGCTGAAAATTTAAATTTGGTTTAATTATTTTACTAATTATATCCACTGGTGCATCTATAAAGTAATCATTAAATTTGTTTGATATTATATTTGAATCTGTAATCCTAGTATCATATATTTTTAGACAGATATTTTTGTGATTTTTTTGTTTTCCATTAAGTTCATTTATAACAGCCCATGTGGTTTTGTTTTTGTTAGAGGATTTAGAGATTTTGTTAAAATAAAATTGACTATTTGTGGCCTCAACAAGAACTTTGTGCTGATATTTTTTTTGTCTATGTAGAGTTTTTAGCTCAGGGTAAGTCTTACTCAATATATACAAATCCTTCAGACTATCTGAAGAAGATTTTACTTCTTGGGTGACCCATGTATTTTTTTTGTTTTGGTAATGTTTGGTTTCTCTAATAGGACAACTAATATTGAAATAGAACTGTAATTTATCATGAAAGGCATTATATTTACTCTCAACATCAGTTGCATGATAAACATCTTGCCATGTTTCTTTACTCAAGAGATTGTTGAATGCATCTATAGCGCCTTCATATGTTACTCTGAAAGTATTTCGAACTGTTGTCATAGTTAGATTAATAAAATTCAATCTTAAAAGGGATATATCATGATCCGATTCAGTATTTACATTTACAGTACCTACACAATCATCACAATTTGTATATACCTAATCCAAAATATTTCCGCATGTGGAAGTCGACTTTGTAGGTGTAAAGTTCCTGGGTGACAAACCATAAGATGCTAGAAGACCAGAAAATCTGTGTGAATTATTTAGTGTCATGGAATTTACATTAAAATCGCCTGTTAAAAATATGAATTGATTTGGTTTAAAATTTGAATTTAAAATTTGGTTAAATTTTTCATAAAATACATCAAATTTACCTTTAGGAAATCTGTAGCAAACTAAAATTGTGTGTTGATTTGAATTATAATGCCACCAATGCTTTTTCAACACAGTACTGATCGAGTAAAATGAAATTAACCATCATATCATCCCTTGCCCAAACTGCAACGCCACCACATTTATATTGACTCTGAAGACTCTAGAAGACTCTGAAGTTTCCAAAGCAACAACTAACTCACGTTGAATCCTTACAAAATATGTAAGGATTAAAGCGATATTATATTGATAATAATATTAATTATATAAATTTTATCGGACTTACCGGAACATCATCGGTTATAATTTTTGGTATGTTAAAGTCTCTTAGTGCTCGCATCAGGACTTGATCCTCTGGTCTTTGACGATCTCCTCTCTTAAGTGATCCGGCTACTACTAACACCGACTTGATTGCCCTGAGTCCCCAATCGTAGTGATCTTGTTTGCTCAGTAACTCTTTACACAAAGTATAAAGAGTTATAAATTTTCTGGCTAACAGTCTAGCTTCCATAAAACCCTCAGCTACCAACATAATCTCACAAATTAGAGCAAAATCGGGTACAACCATTGCGCAAGGTCTAAACAGAGCTTTAAGATTTTCTGGAAGTTCAGTTCTGCCTGCATAACCGGGATTCATTGTTATAAATAATCCAATCTGTAAAAGAATATTTTATAAATAATTTAATTGCATTATTTATTATACAAAATAACAAAATATTAATATTTTCAAAATGAAAATAGAAACGTCAACATAAACTTATATTTTAACCCTTAACTTGGCAACGTATGTTATATTATACATAATATTTCAAATTTTTTATTTGACAATCAATAATATTTGAAACCCAGTTCTTGGCACTGTGTAGTTGAATATACACTACCGTATGTATGTAGCCGACTGGAAATCGGCCCGAAAATTCTTAATTTCGGGCATTTAGTTCTGACGGTATGGAGGGTACAGTCTTGACAAAATGGCTGAGCAGGCGTGTTGTTCCATCCAACAAGCGGTAAGTGTTTATATCAGTTTATTGTTTTTTATTATACAGTGATAATTTTTTGATAGTGAATTGAGAATCGATAAAATAATGGCCATTTTGCCTCCAGTTGGTGTTGAAAGCGACCCAGAGAGTAGTAGTGATGACCAACAAGAGGTTTTATTTCGTAATTTTTTGAAAGAATTCACAGAAAACACTGATGATGTTAAAGAAAATATAACTTCTGAAGAAGGTGTAGAAAACACTGTAGAAATATTACCTGTTTCAGCCAGTAAACAGTGAATATTCACTGTTTATAGCTCTACCTACGAAAAAACAGCAAAAACCTGTGCTGATTATAGAACCATCAGTTTGTTAAACCACTTATTGAAAATTTTTCTGAACGAAATACATGGTCGTATCTACAATAAATGCGAGGAATACCTGAATGTCGTGATATATTTGTAGACATATACTGTTGTTTTATTGACAATTGACAATTATTAACAAATGTCCAAAAGGCATTTGATCGTGTTAAGCACTCTATATTGATCGAAGCTCTCGAAGACATTGGCTTGGACGGGAGATATGTTCGAATAATTGCAAATTTATATTGGAATCAAACAACATCAGTTTTAGTGGATGATGTGGAATCACAGGCTCTCAATATTAAAAGAGGAGTACGGCAGGGACACCTCTTGTCACCCCTGCTTTTTTCAGAAAAGAATTTTCAGAAAAGCACTTTCTGAAAAACAAGAAGGAATACTTGTGAACGGCGAAGTCATCAATAATTTGCGATATTCAGACGATACAGTACTCCTAGCTTATAGTCAAGAGGATCTGCAAACACTACTTGATAGTGTCGTTGATATTTGTAGGGAGGCAGGTCTGGATCTTAACATACGGAAAACCAAAATACTCGTAATAAGTAACAATAGCATATAAAACCGTCTATATATTTAAATAATACCAAGCTTGAGCAAGTTGATAAAATCGTTTACATTGGACAGCAATTAAATTGTAACGCAGAAAGTCACGGTGAAATTAGATCTAGGATAGAGCAGACTAGAGCTGCTTTTAGAAGGATGTCCAAGGAGTTATGCAACAGAGACCTAAAATTAATTGGCTTTGAGGATCCGCCTACTTCGCTGCTACGTATCTCGGTCTTACTTTATGGTGTCGAGTCCTGGTAAAATCGCCTTGAGGCTTTCGAAATGTGGTGCTATAGAAGAATTTTAAAAGTTTGCTGGGCGAAGAAGATTCGAAACTCCACAATACTAGAACGTCTTAGCAAGATTACTGAGATAATAAAAAGTATCAAGCAGAGAAAGCTGGAATATTTTGGACATGTAATGAGAGGTCCCAAATATAGGTTGCTACAAAATATCATGCAAGGAAAAATAGCAGGCAAACGCAGTCCAGGACGGAGAAAAACCTCATGGTTGAAGAACTTGTGAGATTGGTATTGTGTTGATACAAGCATGCTCTTTAGGGTGGCAGTGAATAAAATTAAGATTGCTATGATGGTAACCAACGTTTTAAAAGGACATGGTACATGAAGAAGAAGAAGAAGAAGTCAGTAAACAAAGACTAGCAGCAGCTACTCCCTTAGTAGTGCTACAATTTTCTCCAGTAGTCCAAAAACAAGTTAGTTCTTCAATAAAACGAAAGGGGAAAAAAGATGAGCCTGTATTCAGTTGGGCGACTGATGTTTTTGAATATTATGAAATAACAACAAAAAAAAGTAATGATTTTATAAAACCCGAAAATATAAAAACACCTTTGCAATATTTAAAACTATTTTAGTCCAGATATTTTTGAATTAATCGTAGACAAACTACGACACAAACTGTATTCGACACAAACATTTCACAAATGTACAGACACAAGTATAGATGAGTTACGCGATTTCTAAGCTATTGAAATTTTGATGGGGATTGGTAACATCCGAACGTACACGAACTATTGATCACAAGAGATTCGATATGAACTTATTGCACATATAATGTCACTAGAGTCACTAATATCACTAAAGAGGTATCAAGCAATACGACGGAGCCTACATTTTGTCAACAATTAGAAGTTAAATAATGAGAGATTTTAAAATAAGGCCTATTTTAGATCGTGTACGAAGAAAATGTCTCACAATTGAATTAGAGTCTAAATGTTCAGTGGATAACATTGTTCAATTTTTTCACATGCGAAAAATCATATCATTTTTTCGCTGTATTATTAACCATCCTTCTACCACAATTTTACAAGTATTATCTTGTATATATAGTCCAACCCTTGACAACCCTTCCTACTCACATTTTAACCCTACTCCATTACGAATACAGACAGTTTTATGATAGCAAAGAAGAAAGACTCTCTCTTGATTTGACTACCGCTAGGGCAAGTCGTGCCCTCTTGATTGTCGGCTACCGCTAGAGACAGTCACTCTCTCTCTTCGCTTATTAAGAAGAACAGCATCTCTTTTGGCTGTTTTCTATCGCTAATAACTCTTTCCCGCTTTAGTTACGCGAAAAATACCGCATATACTATTTTAAATCGTGTACAGACGCAAAGTGTGATCTATATCATGATCTTAGTACGAAACACGTGTTCAGAAACCGGTGCTCGGACAGTTTTTGCGGATGAAGAACAACCACAGTGTGGAGCAGAAATATTGGTAAGACTTTATATAAACTTAATTTGCTATTGTCTGTATACCCTTTACTACATATCCTAATTTATTAGAACCAGCCCTATATAATACAGTACACATACACTGAAATTATACTCATAATTTCCCACATATGTACACCCTTTTCGTACAAATATGATAGTCACGTATAAGGGAAAAAAGGCAGGCTCGAGAAGACAATATGTGAAGAACAAACTAAAAAGTGGGGTTTTAAAATGTTTGATGTGGCTTATTGAGGATAGTGTATGATTGCCTTCCCTATAGACGAAATGATTCCTTTAGAAACCATCGTAAAACATATGAGGAAAATAACATGGAATTTGGGGCAAAATGTGTTTTAGCACTATGTTCAACAATCCAAAATAAACTTTATCAACTGTTTATTTCGATAATTATTTTACAAGTTAAGAATTTATTACATATCTTTAAGGTGAATTTGGAATACTTTCTTTGTGAAATGTTAGGAAAAACAGACTACGGGGTGGCCCACTTGAATCTGATAACAAAATGAAAAGATGGGAGAGTAGACAATAATAGTCGCATTGTAGATGTAAAGAGGTACGATAACAAGTCCGTAACCTTATGTAGTTCTTATGTAGCCTAATGTAGCCTATGTAGTACGGCATCATTTCCAGATCGGCATTTGCTCCTTCCCCACAGTCTGACTCACGCATTCTGACTTATACATTCTGACCCACTTTTTAGCCACTTCTGACCCACTTTCAGCATCTTTAACTTTTACCTTTTTTGTTGGTCCATCTGTCTTTCTTCCTCTTCCTTTTTCTTGATCACTGCACGGATATAGCTGTGTATGTTAGTCCAACCTGATTTATTTTCAATCATTCTCCCAATCATTTCTCTCACTGTAACAAAATTCACACCTGTCTCTCTCTCCACTCTGTTCCTTTCCACTATCCATCTGCTACAATATAACATGGTATGTGTCAGAGTGTCCGAGTATCCTCAGTATAGGCATTCATCTGTGTCAGCCTTTCTGATCCTAGATAGGTAGGCCCTAAAACACCCGTGTCCTGTGAACACCTGCGTCAGGAAATAATCCAGTCGCCTGTGGCCACAGTCCACCCAATCTCTTATGTTCATGATCAGCATTTTTTCCACTGTGCAACATCCTCCGTGTTATTTTATTCTTCGTACCATCTTTCAATTGACCATTTCCTTTTCTGTCTTCTCTCTGCCACAGTAAGGTTTGGGCCTCTTATCTCATCGAGCTCTTTTTTTTCCATTGCCAAAACATGCAACGGAACACATCCATGGTTACCGTAGTTAGGATGCTATGGCTCATAATTATAAAAATTTTTAGCTTTTAAGAACCGTTGGTACTTTTGCCAGATATTTGTAATATATAAAGATCGCAATAAGTATTTTTGCAGTACCGGGCTTCTTTTAAATTTGCAGATTTCATCCTGTACATTTGACAGACAAACTTTTTAAGTATTGAAAATCCTCAAAACCTCATCTATCCTTTGCAACATTATAGTATTTCCTAATACTGCAAATGACTTCTGAAATAAATTATTTTTTTGAATTAATATTTTATGTAAGTAATATTTTATATAAATGTAAATAAATAGAATAAATTTTTAAAACAAATTTAAAGTTTTATATTTTAAATAAACGTTTAAACAAAAGTTTATTTTTATTTCATTTATGACACACCTTTCGGTTCACCTGTTAGATACTTGTGCTCATTGAAAACGCCTGTAATTTTTTTTAACTACACAATGAATAAACAAAATCATATAAAAATTTCAAGCTTACAGGAACAAGCTTTTTTAAATTTTTTCTACACTTTCAAAAATATTGGAATTGATGACGTGTGTGGCTGATGCGTGCCAGGGGATGGTTACGGTCCTTAGCATACTATCACTCATCATTATATGAATGTCTAGCCTAGCTCTTGTTCTATAATGATCTCAAACGTAAGGTAATATTATTGTAACGATACTTCATTTGATAAATAACATACTTACCGTAGGAACCAACACTATTTCTGCTCCTAAGAAAAAAAATGTTTTCTTTTTGTCTTTAATGGCATCCTGTATGATTTTGACTTGAACTGCAACGACGGATAATACTTCAATAGATATTCTGTTAAATTCGTCGAAACAACCCCAGCATCCCGTCTGAGATAAACCTTTGTAAATGTTACCGATCGATTTATAATCCATCTGTTCAGAACAGTTAAACACGTAGACCATCATACCAAGAGCTTTTCCGAGATCTTTCGTTGTTTCCGTTTTTCCAGTACCAGCAGGTCCTGCGGGTGCTCCACCCATAATTAAGTGAAGACTTTGAGTTAGCGTTATGTAGCATCTACAAAATACTCAAATTACATTAATTTAATTGTCAAAAAAACTATCAAACTTAATGTGAATTTTGGAGTTCTCCTGGAAAAATATTAATTTTTGGCAGTTATCTGAAGATATTGTAATTGTGCTAACTAATTATTAATCTTCTCGTGATTTGGTAATTTTAAATTGATTATTGGTAATTAAATAAATTTTCATTTATTCAGTCAATGTAAAATAAAACTAAGCTCTAAGTAAAGTAAAAATGTTTTTAACAGGGAACGTACCAGGATCAAATGATTTTCAATACGCTGCAGTGCAGTTTCCAACTGTAATGGTGAACGAGCCTACAAACCTAATACATCCGTATTGGCAAGTAAGTCAAATAAACACTCAAGCTCGACTTAATATCTGAAAGCCATGCCACACAAAGAACGGATATTAAGGTACCTTACTATACTGTGTATTATGCAAATCATCCAGACAGAGGAGCATATGCAGGTTCTGCTGTTACTATTAAATCAAAAATTAAACACTATGGAGTCCAACCTTATATTACGCAAAAAATCCAAGCAGCAATCATTAAACAAATCGAAACAAATACCTCTCTTAATGTATCATCAGTCTACAGTCCATCTAGATATCTCATTTCAAGCAAAGAGTATCATGATTTCAAACACACTCTTGGATCCAAATTCATAGTAGCACGAGACATGAATGTACATACCACATGGAGATCTAGATTAATCACGCCTAAGGGTCAAGATTAATGCATATCATCCAGCAAAATAAGTTAAGATTTTTTCAAACTATGATTTCACATCAGATCAAAGCACAATAATAATAATAATAATAATAACTTTAGGTACACACATAATATGAAGAAGACCACTTCTTAAACTCACGAATAAAGAAACAAACTAGGATATTTTCCAAAATTCTGTAAATACAAAAATTAGAATAGATATTAGGATAAAAGAAAACCAATATGTAGACAAAGCAGTAGATTATTTAACAACAGTTTTACAGACAACAAGATGGGAAGCAACACCACAGCGCCAAAGAAATGTGCAAGGAAACCATAATATCCCCGTCCATCTAAGAAAAATTATAGCAGAAAAAGAAGAGCTCGACACATATGGCAACAAACGAGAAATTCACTAAATAAAACGTACCTTAACAGGATAGAAGTCATAGAGCATTACATAAGGAAAATAACGACTCTTACCAGTTTAATGTTTCGTACCTCTCACATAAAGACCACTCCATATGGAAAGCTACAAAAAAAATTTAAACCACCGACAATACCAAATTCCCCTTTAAGAAAAACAGATATGATCTGGGTCCGCACAAGCGTAGGAAAAACAATAGTATTAGCAGAGCATCTTGCAACTGCGTTCGCAGCACCAGATACTAATAACGATGAAAATGAAATGATATCTAGCTAGATGATATAAGAATGTATCTCGAAACTCCATGTCAACTATCTCTTCCTCTGGCAACGTTTACTCCGACAGAGGTTCGATAACAAATAAAAATGCTAAATTCTAAGAAATCTCCTGGCTATGATTTGATAACAGGAGAATAAATTACTTCAGAAGCTACCGAGGAAAGCAGTGGTGTTATTGACGATAATAAACAACAGCATACTACGTCTTCGATACTTTCCAATACAATGAAAATTTGCTCAAGTTACTATGATATTGAAACTTGGTAAGCCCTTAACGCAAGCAAATTCATATCGCCCAATAAGCCTACTCCCAATAATGTAGAAAGTATTAGAAGGCTACTATTACATAAAATAGAGCAAGTTGTTTTCATAAACGAAATTATTCCACAACGCCAATTCGGATTTAAACGTGAACACTCAACCATCCAACAATGCCACAGAATAGTAAATATAATTAAAAAAACTCTCGAAGAGAAAAAGTTTTTGCGTTGGAGTGTTTCTAGATATACAACAGGCATTTGATAGAGTATGATATAAAGGTCTCCTCTACAAACTGAAATTACACATAACAGACCAACTATACTTTATACTAAAATCGTATGTTACTGATCGTTATTTTCAAGTCAAAATTGAAGACAGCTACTCAAATTACCACATCATACAATCTGGCGTACCTCAGGGTAGCGTTTTGGGTCCATTTCTGTATCTGATATTTACAGCAGACGTTCCAACCAGCATTGATACATTCTTAGCTACTTTGCCGATGACCTAAATCATTGGGTCCAATTAGAAAACTGGCTTAAGCGATGGAATCAGTGTTAATGCTATCAAATCAGTACAAATTATTTTTACAACAAGAAAATCTACATGTTCACAAGTTGATATTAATAATACTCACATTCCTATAAAACCAGTTGTCAAATTCGTTTAATTGCATCTGTATGAAAAAGTTACATGGATAACGCACATTAAAACTAAACTGAAACAATTAGATCTTCAACTAAAAAATATGAATTTGCTATTTAACAAAAGGTATCAGTTATCTCTTGGAAAATAAACTTCTTCTTTACAAAGCTATACTCATACCAGTTTGGGCATATATGGAATAGAACTATGAGGCTGTAGTAAACCTTCAAATACCAAGATACTTCAAACATTCCAATCCAAAATACCTCGTATGATAAGTAAAGCTCCATGGTATGTATCTAACCAAATGTGCTATAGAATACTTCACTAAATACTTAAGGACATAATAAAGAATCACTCAATAAGATACAAAAATCGCACCACTGATCACAACAACGATCTGATAAATAATTTATTTACCCAACTAATTGCTGAAAGAAGATTGAGGAGAGTATGGCCAGAAGACCTACCGCAATAATACTTAGAGAACCGTCACTGGACGGCACCTAATTAACGTTAATTTACTTACAGACTATTTACTTATTTGTTTGTTTGTTTATTTAACGGAAGAACCCTTTTTCCTTACAAAAATTACAATATACACATATAATTAACATATAAACTGTAGTCATATATTACAATTTTAAAAAGTATTAATAACATTAATGTCTCAATTTCTTTAAACTGTTCTTGAACGAGGACACGGATAAATTAAACAATTCAACACTATCTTGCAAATTATTGGCAGTTCTCAACATCCTTGTGATTGACTCACTTTTACCATAATTAGTGTGATGAAACTTTAGTCTAAACAGGTCAGGAGTGCGTGTTCTTCTAGAATTTACATTAAAAATAATTAATTCCAGCAGTTCCGGAAAATCAACATAACCATTAAGAATTTTATGCAAAAAACGCAATTCACACTCAGATTCTCTATTTTCCAAAGTTTTCATATTAAGTTGACAAAGAATATATTTATAATCACAGTTAGTTCTATTAAAACCCATTTTATACCTGCAAATTCTTAGGAATTTATTTTGAACTCGTTCCAACTGATCAATATACATATTATAATATGGATACCAAATAATATTACCATATTCCAAAATGGACCGAACTAGAGAACAATACAAAATTTTGAAAGTAAATATTGAAAATTCTCGGGAGTTCCTTTGAACAAAGCCGAGCATTCTATAAGCCCGCGATGTAATATTATTAATATGCCTATCAAACATTAGTCTTTGGTCAAATGTAATTCCAAGGTCTCTAATTTGATTTACTTCTGTAATCGATACTCCCTTAAGTATGTATGTTCTATATAACTGATGTTTCGTATTTCTGGAAAACGTAATTTTATAGCACTTTTTTATATTTAAATATAAGGCATTAATGTCACACCAACGAGATAAATTATTTAAGTCAGACTGAAGAGCATCCATATCAGAGGTATTTTTAATTGCTTTAAAGATCTTTATATCATCAGCAAACAATAGAAATTCACTATTATTAATTGCTGATGATATATCATTCACAAACAGATTAAATAGAAGTGGGCCTATTACTCTGTGTATTAAAACTTATATTAATATGTTGACTATATTTATGAGATTTTATTTAAATACGTTAGAACTTTATTGGTTGGTAATTAACCAAGTAAGAAATATAAAATATTTATTTAGTAATAGGCAACTACAGAGTGGCACTCAGTTTCTAACAGTAAGATTTATTATTCGACTGTAAATTTCTCAACACAGGAGGTAGAAAAAAATAGGAATTAGAAGCCATTACAATGTTAAACAGTGTTAAAGGTATAAAGGTTAAAATTTTATCTAGTATTTCAGAGAACACCTTATCTTCAGTATAGTATAATTGTATAATTTCTTATAATAATGAAAATTATCTTTATCATAAAAGCGGATATAAAGCTGTAAATTGACACTTGAACTGTAAAGCATTTTAGATTTTATGGTTGGTCAAAGAGAAAACGTGAAATCCTATCTCAAAAATCTAGTTGTACTCGTAAACCTAATAGTGAGATCCTTTTCACCACATAATAATAAAAGAGCATTTAATTAATTGTGTAGGAAGTTACAAAGTTCTTTATAATGGTAGACGAATTAATCCACAGGATAAGCGTATAACGCTCAGTAATTTTCTTTAATTAAAACTATTTTCACCAGATAATTTTAATCCAAACCATACTTAAAATAACTACTATTAACATAACAAAATTAATAGTAGAGTGCATATTAAAACGGATAGTCCAGTCGAGATGTGTATAAAAATAGCTTTTAAATTAATTGTATTGAGTCGCATTTCAAATATTTGTCTCAAAATGTCACCAGAAAGTTGTAGAACTAGAATTTAAATATAAAAAAGTTATAGCTATTATTATCAAAGCTAGTGAAGCACAGAGAACAATAAAGTCTCTAAGAATGGCTAAAAGATAAAACAGATAAAAGATTGGAAAAATTGTTATCAAAATCAATTGATTAAAGATCGTCCACAAATTCTTTTTCAAAATAATAAGCAGTCTTTTCAGTTAGAGAATTATAAAATAACACCAACTTATATTGACACAACTTATATTGAAAATGATAATAACACATAAAATGGACGAGCTTCGGAAGTACAGGTTTCCCTATAGAACTTAAAAGTATCGACAGGACTCGTTATTACAAATACTCGCTTTTATGTTTAATTACTTTTTATAGGCGAAGAACTTCCAACCGAATAGAAAATAGCTTTTGTATTAAAAATCCATAACAAAGGTGATAGAAGAAAACGCTGCAACTACAGCGATTTAACTGGAAAAAACTTAATTTCTAGACTTTACAAAAGTACTTTACAAAAAATGCTGTTTTGCCGTTCTCTTCTAATTTTGTCTCGGCACAATGTAGATGTAGTTAATTCTTTTTGCCGATAAAGGGTCTTCCGTTCTTCACCTAGCACTCCAATGGGTAGCATCCCGGATATGACTTATATGGCTTCCTCAAATAATGCGTTGTCAACTCTTAGAACGCTCAGACGATATACTGATGCGACCATCCAACGTGATTCCTGGGTTCTCAGAATGTCAGCCCAAATCGATATTCCTTATGTTAATACTAACGTTACTACTGACGGCAATAACGTCCTACTACTTTGTTTAGAGCCACCTACATTCGGCATTAGACGTGACAAGACTGCTCTCACTACTGACGCTTTAGCACTGAAATACTCTACTTGCTGCTTGAAGCTGAGTCTGGCGTCAATCAGCACTCCCAAGTACCGAAGGAATAGTTGTGATGTGATTTCATGTTCTCCAATACGCAGTGTTACGGTTTCCACCTGTTTCCGACAAGTAATAAGCACTGCCTCCATTTTGTGCTTAGCGTGTTTTAAATTAAGGCTGTTTTATCGGTGCACCAAAACCTAGGAACTGTTATTTACTGACAAAATGTCTTGAAATTTGCACACAATATCCGAAACTATGTTGCTTTTAAAATGATGGTTTTACTTTTTTATTTTTTTGGTACTTCTGTGAAAAAATTGGATTATACTGTTTAACGTTCTATTATAACCAAACTTTTTACGCCCATCTCTTAAAAGAGTTTTTTTTTGTAATAGTTGATTTTTTTTTTTCACCTTTCTGCTGTCCAGTAATAGTCGAGAAAATCGTGTTCAAACTTTGAAGAAAACTGCTAAAAAATACTAAAATCTAATAGTGAAACGTGTTACTCATCATTGTCGCTAGGTTCACCGTTATCACCTTTGTGACTTTAAATCTCATGAGGGTACGGTCAGTTAGTTCGTGTTAAAACTAATTTGAATGGAGAGTAATACATTTGTTGCCCGTTGGCCGATGCCACTTAGTAAAGATAGTCTCGCGTAAGCAGTGTAGAAAAGTAAGTGATACGCCCATTTCAAATCGCAGTGTGCTTGAACTGCTAAAACAGCCTTAACTGTGTTCATTAGCGAAATGTTGTGGGCGCGTTATGGTGTAGGCGCTTACTGGTGTAGGCGCGAAATGGTGTGGGGTCAAAATGGCGTGAGCAAGTAAGGGTGTGAGCGCGAAATAGTGGTTGCGCACCGGTGTGGACGCTAAATGGTGTTGTCGCGAAATGTTGTGGACATGTAATGATGTGGGCGCATAATGGGATAGACGCGAAACGGTGTTGGGTGGTGGCGTACTAGTATGGGCGCGAAATGTATGCGCGTAGTGGTATGGTGGTGAAATGGTATGGGCACGTAATGATGTGGGCGCGTACTGGTGTGGACGCGAAATGGTGGTGTGTGCGCGAAATAGTGTGGGTGCGAAATATTGGGAGCGCCTACTTGCGTGGGCGCGTAATTGTGTGAGCGTGAAACGGTGTGGGCACGAAACGGTGTAGGCGCGTTATGATGTGGGCGCGTAATATGTGTAACGGATGAGAGTGCGTAATTGTATGGGCGAGTACTATTGTGGACGCGAAATTGTATTGGCGCTAAATGTGTAAATTAAAAAATTGAAGTTATATTAGTTTGCTTTAAACCTCTAATACGATATATCTGTGTTGTGAAAAATTTTGTTAACAGTTTCCCCAGTAAAGTGTAATGGTTAACGGTGCTTAATTTACGAACAAAGACGGTAGTGTTTCGTCTCATTGGGCTTTCACTACACTAGCACAACTGTGTTTTAGTTTGACATTTCCTCAAAAAAAGACATATTGTACTTTTTACTTTATTACAAACTTTAACAACCTTACCTGTCAGTTAATGGTGTGATCACTAATCTGGGCGTATTTCCCAAATATTCATAAGAATATCTGAACTCAGCATCACAAATATTAGCAAAACAGTCCTTTCTTGGCTCATCCCATTTATGCCTCAGTTGACTTTGCCACTGAAACGCTTGTGCGTTCTCAACTTTCATTACAATCATTTTTGCGACAACATCTCTGGAATGCACATCTATCGTACATATAGTCATAATTTTCTGTCGTTCACCTGGTGTTAAATCTCCCAATAGAAGCGTAATTAAAGCATTTAACTGGTTGATCTGTTTTCTTTGATAGTCTTTTAAGGCACTTTCGTACCCTTCTTCTAATCTGGCAAAGGCTAAGTTTACTTCGGTTGTCCACCAAATCTGAGTTCCTAAAACATTACCATATGAGTTAAATATAAATATTAAAACACCAACATTACACAATGGGATGTAGGCTCTATAAAGACAAAATAATATACAAACTTATAATGAAAATAATTAAATAAATCCAACTATAATCCAACTTATAGCCAAAGCTGCAAAACCAGTTATTACTCCTTCTATAATATCAGAATATTTAGGCAAATAGAATAATCTTGGTAGTTTTAAGGCCAAGTTCCTAGAAAAAACCTTTAAAACAAATTTATTTATAGTACAAAAGATAATTCAGAATTTAACTTTTTACAGGGGAAAATACCATTAACCCACTTGAATTTATTTTTCAAAATAGGTATTGATGAAACAATGAAATTTGTATTGTAATCTAATAAAAATCAAGATCAAATAATATGATTCATTGTTTCACGTATCCCTACAGCATTATACCCTACATATCTACATCATCCATATTCATTTTTTGGTATAAGACAAAAATAATACTAAAATAAAATCGAAATTTATTTCTTACCGCAAAGAGCCGGCTGCGCAGGATAATCGTTAATCCACAATTCTCGTGGTTTTTCGTCATAAGTGATTACGCACTCACTAAACTGTTGGTGAAGGGTTGCTCGCATAACATCTATCACTCTGTTTAACCATATTTCTACCTTTCCAGTGCAATCGCAGAGATTTACAAAGGGTACGATTTCCTCGTTTTCTTTTGACTTCATTGCTTTTGCACGTTTTGAACCTAGAAATAACGTATAAGTAGGCATATCAAAAATTTTAACAAAAACGAAAACGGGACCTTGTTTATAAGTATATAACAAAGATTACACCGTATTCTACGATTTTGTTTCAAAGGTCCAATAGATAAGTTTTGAAGATATCGAAGAAGAGTGGTTCGGTCAAAAAATAGCGTGTCCACACTATTATTATAGATTATAGACCAACATACTCAAACAGGGAAGTAAAAAATCTAATAACTAAAGCAAAAAATATTTCCTGGGAAAGTAAATATCAAGAGCTCAACAAATGTATAGCATCAACAAAATCGAAAGAAGTATGTAAAACGGTAAAAAATCAGAGAACAAACAAAAACAGCGAGTAGAATAGATAGATCCTAAATCAAACATTTGATATAAGACATTATTTGGTATAATACCTAAAGAATCGCTCCAATCAACATTCATACTGCTTCCCAAAAAAGCCAATGCAAAGGAGTGCAATGAACATCGCACCATAGCCTTAATGAGTCATGTCTTGAAATTGTTCTTAAAAGTAATTCACAATATAATACATAAGAAATTAGATGAAGGCATAAGTAATACACAAATGGGATTTAGGAAAGGACTGGGAACACGAGATGCACTGTTTGCAGTAAGTGTTCTTTTTCAGAGATGCTTAGATATTAATCAGGAAGTATATGCCTGTTTCATTGATTTTGAGAAAGCATTTGACAGAGTGCAGCATAATCGACTTAAAGAAATTTTATTAAATAAAAACATAGATAGTAGAGACATTAGAATCATCTGTAACCTCTATTGGAATCAAACAATAAAGAGAAAGTTGAAAACGAACTGACCAAGGATATCCAGATTCGCCGTGGGGTCCGCCAAGGGTGTATTTTATCACCCTTGTTATTTAATTTATACAGTGAAGCCATCTCAGAATAAGCGCTTGCCGAGATCAGTGAGGGCCTTATAATAAACGGTGAGCCACTTAATAACATAAGATATGCTGACGACACCGTCCTTCTAGCAGGAACACTAGAAGAACTGAAACACCTTGCTGAACAACTAAATATATATTGTAAATATTATGGACTAAAAATCAATTTGAAGAAAACCAAGTTCTTGGTATTTACAAAAGCACAAAACATCAAAGTTAAGCTAGTACTAGATAATACAGAAATTGAACAAATATCTTCGTACAAATACCTTGGAGCATGGATTACAGAAGATACTGATCAGACAAAAGAAATAAGATGCCGCATTGAAATTGCGCGATCAACTTTTAATAGAATGAGAAAACTTTTTTGTAATCGCGATATATATCGCTCCGGATAAGAATGCTTTGATGTTATATTTTCTCCACCCTTTTGTATGGAGTTGAAGCTTGGACACTTTAAAAATCCAACATTAAAAACCTAGATGCATTCGAAATGTGGTGTTACCGACGTATTTTGAAAATATCATGGATGGATCGCAAAACAAACGAACAAGTTCTCGAACAACTAGGAAAACAATGCGAAGTTTTAAATTCCATGAAAATCAGGAAATTGGAATACTTGGGGCACATCATGAGAGGTGAAAAGTACGAACTACTAAGGAATATAATGTAGGGTAAAATCAAAGGTAGAAGAAGCGTAGGACGACGTAAATCTCGTGGCTACGCAATCTCCCTGAATGGTTTGGATGCAGTTCAATTGAACAATTCAGGCGAGTAACCAATAAAATTATAATTGCCAGAATGATTTCCAATCTCCGATAGGAGTGGAACTTGAAGAAGAAGAAGAAATCAAACATTACTCTGAGTGAAAAAAGACCGCAATTCACGAATATGATTACAACAACATATGAAGTGGAATACGATGAAGACAATAAAATAAAAGTATATGAAGTCAACAATACAATATGAAATCTATAAAATCGGAAGCATGCAAACGACAAAGTATACCAAACGAATTACTAAAATACACGCCACAAGTAATATGGGAATTACTAGCGTATATTTTCACCTTAAACTCTATCGGCAGAGTGGACAAAAGCACACATTTTCACATGACTTATCAGCGGAGTGGACCAAAGCACATATTAATATCACCGATAAAAATAGAAATCAGGAACAAGACAAGCAAAGAATATCAGAGAAGATCGCTGGGAATGAAATATTAGAAAACGATAACATCGATGAAAGCTGGGAAAACTCAAAAATAGCATAATTAACGCAGCAACAGAATCACTTGGAGGAAAGAAAGTAACGAACACTAACGTACCAAAAAAGAAAACACCATGGTTTAAGGAGGAAAAAAAGACAAACTACGAAGAAAAGAAGAGAGCCTTTTTACAATACAGAACACAACAAACACAACAAGGCATACAACCACTATAAACAAATCAGATACGAAACGAATACTTTAGTTAGACAAATAAAAAAGGAACAAATGGTAGAAGTTCTCAAAACAGATGGAACACGACTTCTACGAAACACAAAAAGCAATATGGAGAATGATCAGAAGACAAAGAAAAGATATGAACGAACTAATAAAAACGTAACACATTCAGAAGGAAACATGGGTAGACTACTTTCGATCCCTTTTTGCTAAAGTTGACGATAATGAACCACCAACACTAGAGGTGACGACAAACGAAAACATAAATATTAAGAAGGAAGAGGTAAAGGAAGCATTATACAAATTAAAAAATTAAAAATCTCCAAGAGAGGACAGAATGCTGACAAAACAAATATTAAAACTAATCCAAAAAGTAATAGAATAAAACCGAATTCCTCAAGAATGGAGATCAAGCATCCTAATACCTCTCTCAAAAAGGGAAAGAAATCGGAGCCGGAAAATTACAAAGAAATTAATTTATTAAACACAACACTAAAATTAACAACCAAAGTGATAACCAATAAACTGAATAAAATTATAACACTAGCAAAAAAACAACAAGATTGCAGGTCAGGAAGATCATGCACCGACGCTATATATATATATATATATATATATATATATATATATATATATATATATATATATATATATTTAATGAGGAAATTACAAGAGAAATCATTAGAATACAACAAGCCGGCATATTTATATTTCGTGGACCTTACAAAGGCATTTGACCGGATCAAATTAAGAGACGGTATCCACTTATTGTACGCAAAAGAGATACCTCTAGGCATAATCAAAACGATCGAAAATATCTACCAAAACAACACAATAAAATTAAAAGTAGAAGAAGATCTAATCAACCCTATTGAAGCTAACAATAGACAGGGAGATTTCCCAAGTCCTCTATTGTTCAACCTGATTATGAAAAACAAACAGAGTTATGTCTATATAAAACTAAGAAGAAGAAAAAAGAGATTAAGTTACAGGGGATACAAATATCGTTGCATCAGCTATTGGACAATACCCATAACGATATAGCTTATAAAATATTTTATTTTAATGGTGAAATAATTAAAGAAGTTACCTACCTTGATCAAAAATTAATCTTCCTATTGAATCAAATAGTTTAGTTAGATGACGTTGAATTAGTTCTGGTTGATTACCATTGGACAAAATATCAAGTAAATCAGCCGCTGAGACAAAATAAAATCTGGGAAACGCTAAGCGTTTCGTCTCTAAATAATCATTTAATGCCTTCTCGCACAGCGTCAAATCTGCCAAGATGGCCTCTAATTTTTCAATAAGACCAGCTTTATTAGTTGATTTGACTATGTTCGGAGTTGACGACAGATCTCTTAAGACCTCCTTAAACTCTCGATCGATTTTATCGAATCGGCGGGAATCTTCTGGTAATTGATTCCGTATATCTTCGGAACCAATGAAAATACTTTCCAAGTACATCCATTTTCTTTGAACCTAAGAAATGCCATAATTAGCATTTATATACTTTATCCTTAATATAAAATTTATGTACATAGTTGATTATAATTTTTTTCTAAAACTGTAGGAAAGGAATAACAAATCACTTGACATCTAAAGAATGCAAAGAATAAGTTCAAGTTAAATACTTCACGTGAGAAAATGGTATTAGGTTTAATTAAATTATAAGGTATATTTAGTCTTTTCTCTTTGAGCTCTGCATAGTTTGCGCTGTGTAAATAAAACTGTGTGTAAAACAATGTTATATAGTTATTTATTATATGTTCTGATATATTTAAGTTTTTTAATGGTACTTTTTAATGGTTTCGAGAGTTATAGGTCATGGTCAGCATTTGTTTCTTTCTGGAGTCTAGTCTGCAATAGTAGGAGAGCTACAAGAAGAGGGGAAAAACTTTATTTTTTGTTACAAAAAATATTTTATTTCAGAAGGTATTTGCAGCAATGCGCAATGCTGAAATAAGAGGTCTCCCAATAAGAATGTCCTGATGTTTTTTTTTAACGAAAACGGTAAAATTGCTGTAAATAAAAAAAATTTTATTGCCAAATTTAATAAATAACAATTATGTTCCGACTAACACATCAGTCAAATGTCCACCGCGACTAAGTTTGCAGGAGCGAATCTGATGAACCCAATTTTCACTTCATGCAAAATATCCGCGTTAATCTCACGAATGGTATGATTTATATTCCTCTTCAAATCGTCAATAGATTGTGGTTTGTTCGCATAGACCAATGACAACATAGCCCCATAAAAAATAATCCAACGGTGTTAAATCGTAGCTTCTTGGAGGCCAAGCATCTGGTCGAAGTTGCTGAATACTCCTGGGATCTCTGAGATCACGAGAAATCAATGTTTCCGGGAACTTTTCCTTCAATAAATCAATGGTTGGGACAGTAGTGTGACATGTGGCACCGTCCTGTTGGAAAAACATGCCATCCAAATCAATTTTATCCAACTGAGGCCACAAAAAATCCGTTATCATCGTTCGTTACCTTTCACCGTTGACTGTTACACCATGTTTGAAAAAATAAGGTCCGATAATGCCACCATGCCGTAAACTACAGCAGACAGTGACTTTTTCTGGATGCAAAGGCTTCTCAAGAATCTATGTGATTTATTTTTACCCCAAAACGACAATTTTGCTTATTCACAAAGCCGTTTAAACAAAAATGAGCTTCATCGGTAAAGATTATTTTTTTGAAAAAATCGCCATCATTTTCGAGTTTCAAAAAAGATGTAAATCTTTGTAAGTGGGTATATTTAAAAAACCTTTAAAAGGACTACATCAAATTAACAAACGTTTTCGGAATAATAATTTCATCATCAGGTTAAATATACAATATACAATCTAATATACAATAATATTTCATAAATAGAATAAGCAATTGTATCCCGTGCAAACCTATTAAGAACATAGTTTTTATCATTATCTATAGGTTAAAGAACCTGTACCACTTTTAAGTGACTATTGTTATTGCAGTTCCCATTGGCATGGAGGTAGGATTAAGAAATCATAACTAATAGGTTTTTTATAAACACCTTAGTACCACTTGTTTTATATGTGACGAGAAACTTTTACTCTTATGGGTTTCCCAATAGGGACGTCCTGTTGTCATAGCGGCCATTTTGAAAATGGTAGAACTGTCACTTGTTGTCGTTTGTATTTTGTATACTCTAACAAATTACCATGGCAAGATATACGCTTGAACAACGTTTGGAAATTATCATTTTTGGTTACATATTATTTTACTAATATAAGTAATAACTTACCCGTAATTATTTTTGCTATTTTTTATCAAAAAACAGTCAAAATTGTAAGAGCTCCAAACATATGATTTACGTATTGAGACACTACCGCCATCATACCAAAAAAATTCTAACTATACGTGAAACTAAAACATTTTGAATTCTAAGTTCATCTGTTGAACTATAGATGCTAGTATGGCCACGTAGTGGATCCAGTGGGTTTCGGTCATCGAGCGAGAAGACAATAGAGGGAATCTAATTCTTACGAAAAAAAGACCAAAAAAGTGGCCTCTGATGGCGAACATATCCGGAAATGCGAATGCGCCAAATTTAAATTTTCCGACACTTATTAACAGTAGCTATATAATATTTTTCAGAATGTGTCTTAGACGAGAAAGTTTTAATTAATTATTAACGATAATTGTCTAAATGTCTAAAATTTGGGACAAACAAGAACATAACCCAACTAAATTTGATGTCAAACAAGGAGAGAGACTCTCTTTCCTTGTTTAATGTGGCCTCTAAAGATTGCACTTCCTGTCTAACAATATTTTTGCCCCCCTACCTTTACATTCCCTCTTTTGTCTTTTTGCTCGATGGTTTCAGTTGAGCACATTGTTGTGATGAAAATGGTGGTTTCGTGACGAAACCAATGTGCCGCAAAGGGTTAACATTTCCAATATTATAATCATTGGATATCTAAAGAGAGTGGCATGGCTTCAACTCAAAATAACTCTTTGGAATAGGGTGGTAGGGAAAAGCTGGTACTGTTTAAACTTTATACCTGTTATGCTCAGTACTCTTTCAGTATCTAATGTGTTACTATAGTAACACGATAAAAGTAGTGTGAAAAAATGTCATGTAAACTAAGTAAGTATAAAAAGTAAATATAAAAAATATTTAATAAAAATTTCAAACCTCAAAGTAGACATTTATAACTTGGTCAGCATTTGATAACTTCTTTTGCCACTCCGATACTTCATCCAAAAAGAAATCTATAAACTTAGAAGTCATCATATTCTGAAGAGCCACCTGATTTTCTTCCAAAGTCTCTACAATTTCTTCCCCTATTCTGAGTATACGCAGTTTGGTTCTTTCGTGCGTATCAAACTCAAATTCCATTACATTCCAAGTGGCGTTTAGTTCTTTCAAAACTTTCTCCATGGCCATTTCTTTAACAGACTTGTCTACTATAGTTTTTACGTCTTCTTCATATTCATGAAGATTTAAAGCAAGTAAATCTCTTAGTGTAGTTTCATCTGTCATGACGAATCTTACCTGTCAAAGAAAAAAAGGATGGAGTAGGAAAATAAAAATCCTTAATGGTATAAGCGTTTATTATAAAAAGTAAAAAAGCTATAAAGTAATCTATAATTAGAAATCTAAACTCATGCATTTGTAGTACGAAAGTAAAATTTATATGGACGCATACAATTATTACAAAACTATGTCTAAGGAGATATTCAATATTGTCTAGTGTGAAGACTAACAAATTGTAGAGGTAATCGATTTTGGGAACAGCTATGACCTTAAACATTTCACATAAACTTGTGTACTAAATAGGCATAATGCATAGCTCTTGTCAAAATCCAATACATTAATAATATAATTACATATCTTGGATTCTAAAATATTGTAAAAGGCTTTAAAGAGTCTGAGTAAGAAAAGAGATATTTAGTTATATTCTTTGTGGCATTTTCAAGGTCATAGCTGTTCCCAAAATCCATTAACTCTAACAAGTGTAACATAAAGTTTATTTAAGTGTTATTAAAAGTTTTAATAAAATCACACATGCTATATGAAATGTATCTCAAAAATAAAGCGGGAATTAAAAGGCAATTTCTTGATGCACTAAAGATAGACTTTTTACTATGTTTTAGTAAAAAAAATGTATAAAAGTATAGATTGAATACACAATTTTTTAAATTAAATTGGACAAAAATTATGTTTTCTGAAAATTGCCACACTAATAGTTTGTAGAAAATGTTCTTGTTGCAATTTCGCAACTGTATTTAAACATTGTTAAAATATTAACATACTTTTTGTTAGTTTTAATTCTCCCCGTATATTTAGCTAAGATTTTGCGTAAAAAAACACAGCTGCAATTGAACAATAAACAGTTGTTATACAGTGTTGCAATAAATTGGACTGTTCATTTATACATTGTATCTTAATGAAGCATAGAGAAAAAAGCTTCTTTCGTTAAAATTGCAAATCGCTTTAGTAAATTATTGCCCACACCTAACGTCAACTTGTAAAAAACAACTTGAACTAGCCGCAGTTTTTCAGTTAGTAAGTGATAGTCGTTTCATTCAGGACGGATAAAAGCTGCTTAGTCACCGGAGATGCGAGTTCTATGGTGATGGAGGCTGCTAGGACATCATCAATACTTTAGTAGTTCTTGTATGACGTATAAGACGTTATTTTTGATAGCGGGTGACGGTATCATTTCATTGGGGTAAAGTACAACTATACACAATTTGTTACCAAAAGTATTTGGAACTATATACATTATTATTCACTGGTATATGCATTCTTGTTGTTGTTCTATTTAAATACGTTTATTCATAAACTCAAGACTTACTTAAAGCAGGAGGTCCACTCCTAATAAGACAAATAACTTTTCTAATGAATCAATGCTTCCAACAAATTAAAGTACCATCTGAATAGAAAACCTGTAGCCTTCATCGACCGAGAAAAGGCGTATAATGCAGTTCCAAGACTTAAATTGTGGCAAGCTTTACAACAACGCGGCATTAGTTCATACCTTTTAGGAATAATCGGAGAAGTATATAGGAATAACACTACCTACCTAAAAATCGGAAATAGACTATCAGACCCAATAAAAGTAACTAAAGGACTAAAACAAGGATGCAGTATGTCACCCTTACTAATTAATTTATATATTAAGGCAGCCCTCCAAAATTGGAAAAACCACTACCAGGGAATGGGAAACCCCATTGGGAATGACGTACTGTTCTCCCTGAACTTTGCGGATGACCAAGTCGTCCTAGCTCAAGATTCTTATGATCTAGAATGATAAAGCATCTATACAGAGAATATGTTAAACTTGAATTACAAGTCAGCATGAAGAAAACAGAATATTTAGTTATCAATTTAGATTCAAGGTTTTAAGGGTTGATAGACGAGGACGTAGAAATGAAACAAATGGAAACGTGGAAAAAAAAGTGGAAAAATTTAAATATTTAGGTGAACTCATTGATAAGAACGGATTGAAAAAAACCGAAATTAATCACCGAACTAATCAGAGACGTAAAATTGTAGGATGTCTAAACTCCTTATGGTGGGATCGCAACATTTCCAAAAGGAACAAAAAAGAATAGAGCAAATCATGGTTGAATCAGTTCCTTGTTATGGCTTTGAAGTATGGACAATTAATGCAGACCTGACGAAAAGATTGTTGGCAATTGAAATGGATTATTTGAGAAGAAATGCTAAAACATCAAGGCTGGAAAGGAAGACCAACGAATCTATAAGAAATAACATGAACACTACATAAACGGTCATTGACAGAATAGAAAGAGGAGGTTTACAATGGTTTGGATACCTATTGAAAATATCGGAGGAACGTTGGCCCCAAAAACTTCACAGATGGAAGCCCACTGGAAGAAGAAAAAGAAATAGACCTCGACGCTCATGGAATGAAGAAATTAAAAAAGCGAGAGTATCGAGAGTTTTATCGAATACGGCGATAGCGGTCTCCAAAATGTATAAGTATTTACAAGTTGGATCCTGTAATATATATAGGTATATATTTATTAACATAACTTCATTAAATTTACCTTTATCAAAACATTTATTTAATATAGTGTATCATACTAGTAGTTTTGTTTTACTATTTGTATCTAAAGGACTAGAACAAGGATGCAGTATGTCAACCTTACTGTTTAATTTATATATTAAGGCAGCCCTCCAAAATTGGAAAAACCACTACCAGGGAATGGGAAACCCCATTGGGAATGACGTACGTATATATATATATATATATATATATATATATATATATATATATATATATATATATATATATATATAGTTTATAATATAATGTTTTTTGTCTTATATACAAAATTATCGTTGCTGTAGAATTATTCTTTTTTCCTTGCCGTATCATATTTTAGCATACTCCTGGTTTCTTTTGTAGACAAGTGGTTTAGTTTATGTAGTATCTTCTTCTTTCTATGCCGTCCCCATTAACGGAGGTTGGCGACCACATTTCTAAAAGTTTCTCTGTCATTTGCAACGTAGAATAATTTATCTACAGTGTAATATAGATATCACAATTCGCCTCATAACATATTTAGTTCAAATCAGCTGTATTTTTACGCTAATTCGTTTACTTTTTGTAAAGCAATCTGAGTTATGAATAACTACTTACTTGTATCTTTACCACGCATATTCTAACCCACCACACCCTCATAGATTTTAAAAGCGCTTATTACAGTGTAGACAGCGCACTTTATAATGCCATTGCAGAACTAGATATTCCGTCGCATCTAATAACATTCGTAAAGGCAACTCTTTTGAAAGTTGAGTGCAAAGTCAAGGTACAAAGCAGAGTGTCAAGGTGTTTTCAAACACATGTTGGATTACGCCAGGGTAAAAGTCTATCATGCCTATTGTTTAACATCGTGCTAGAAAGAGCCATAGAAAAATCGGGAATAACAACCAGAGGTACGATCATCAAGAGAAGTGTACAGATATTGGCCTACGCAGATGACATTGACATAGAAACACGGACAAAAAGAGACCTGATACAGGCTTTTGAAACATTAGAAAATGCCGCAAAGACAATGGGACTGCAGGTCAACGTATCCAAACATATACATGAAGGTCACGAACAGCACACAAATAGCGGCACCACAAGATCTGGTGACAGAAGCATACACATTCGAAGGGGTTTCGGAGTTTATATATCTTGGAACACAACTAAATAACAGCAACCTAGTAAGCGTAGAAACTAAGAGAAGAATGTACCTGGCCAAAAGAGCTTACTTTGGACTAAAGCAGTTCTTAACATCACACATAATTAGCAGAAAAACCAAGATACCAATATATGAAACTCTTATTAAACCTGTCCTGGCATATGCGTCAGAGACATGGACTATGTTCAAAAGCGCCGAAGATCCGTTTTGAAAGAAGAATACTTAGACATATATACGGAGGAGTACAAGAAAGCGGGATATGGCGCAGGCGCTACAATTTTGAGTTGTATTAATTGTATGAAAAATGCAACATCGTCCGGTCTATTAAAATTAAGACTAAAGTGGCTAGGTAGTTATTTAATAGGCTAAGGTGGTTAGGACACCTTAAAAGAATGGACACTGGAGACCCTCAAAGACAGATATTATCAAGACCCAGTAGAAATCAAGAAGAGAGGCAGGAAAACATCTAGATTTAAAACTCAAGTCGAAGATGACTTGAGGAGTCTAGGGGTCTGAAATTGGAAAACCAGGACGAAACATAGGGGGGAATGAGACTAATTCTTGAATAGGCCAAGACCCACTCAGGGTTGTAGAGCCAAAGATGTTACATAAAGTTTCATATAGTCCTCTTGCTTTTATTTTCTATGGTAATATACATAAAACCACTTCTAGATTGAACTTAGACATTCTCCCCCTTTTATGATAGCTTTATATGTTATATAAAGGTCACCGTATGTTCAGAAAGCAACAGTACTAAGTGTAATAACATTAAATAAAACATCCATTTACATTTGATTAGATTTAAAAACAAAGAAAATTAATAATCAGTTGTGAATATAGCATTTCAAAGTTGTTTTATTATTTGTTAACACGTTTAATCTTTTTTCTTAAATATAGAGAAGAACAATCCTAAAAAAATAAAAGAGTTCTCATAGGCTTTAATTTTTTCACAGGTCTTTTACACTATAGCAATTTACTACAAAATAGCGTTATATAATTTCCAGCAAAATTACTTTAATGTGTAAACAAACTAATAATTACTAACAGGAAAAAGAAGCAAGTGGTCCAGCGTTTGTAGTCTTGTTGGAAAATAATAAAATTATATTAAAGGCAAAGGAATTTTTATTTAACATAGCTGCCATACCTCTACGACATTCATAATTTATACAGTGTAGTGTAAGTTTTTTGCGTTTATTTAATAAACTCTTGTAAATTTAATTTTCAATTGTACATAAACTTCCTGTGTGAATCTCCTGTGAGATGTGTTTTTCTTGGGTGCTTTCCTTCTCCCTTTAGTGCCAAAGTCATTTTAGGCCATTATACGTTTTATGG